AGTGGATAACGTTTCTTGTTCTTCACCCCCACTACGCCGCCTGGGTCCTGTACATCTATAAGTGACTCGTTTCATGCATGTCGCATCGATCAGCTGACATTGGGGCACATACAATAATGCTAATTGAGCAACAGAACTGCAGCAACAAAGTGACGTAAACAATTAAGAAACAATTCTAAAAATGCTCTTATTTAAAAGTTTTATAAGGGACGACATCCACAGAAGATGGTTGTTAGGGCCCTCAGGAGCAGGAATAAACAAAATTTGTTTTGTGAGGTAATCAATCTGAATGAAACGATAACTTAATTAAAGGAACCTTTTAACACAGGGTAATGATACTGAGAAACAAAATTGCTCTGATTTCAGGTGAATATGACCTATATAAGGAGCGTCGAGAATTATGCATTAGACCTCTGTAAAGCAGGAACTCGTCAATTACGGTGCAGGCATCAAGAACCCATCATGCTTAGCACTAGCTCCACCTACCGCTGCGTAGCTCATCACATCCGTGCGTTTCTTCCCAGAGTCCCCATCATCTGTAACCTGCCCGCTCCAGGCGGCTCCCGCGCTGGGTCCAGCCCCTCCTCCTGTCTCCCTGCTCCGCCCCTCGCCCCTGCTGGCCGCCGCTGCTCGCTCAGCGGGTGCTGAACACAAAACCGGAGGGCGGTCTCCGAGTGCCCACCTGCACGCCCCGTGGTGTAACCAGCGCGTCGTCGATGCTGCCTGGCGCGCAGAGCATAGCTGCCGGCATGAGGGGGCGTCCGCCTGCCCTGAAGACCGCGGGGCTTTGTGAATTGGCCCAGGCCCGCCAGGCCATTGGGAGCGAGCATGTGTGAGCGGCTGGTAAGACTCCGCCCATCATAACCTCAGTGGTTATGTGGGTCGAAGGGTTGTTTCCTAGGATACTGTGCAACCAAGTGAGGAACCAGAAAAAGGAACTTACATTCCTGACGCCTCTAGACTGCGAAAACTGAATCAGCAGTTCATTGGTTCCCTGCAGTCTCCATCACTAACCATCCGAACCTCCGTAAACGCTCAGTAACAGGGTCTGGCAAAGGCCTCAACGGGACCAAAATCACAAGGCCGCTGAAGCCCACTCCATACCCGTTGCAGATACACTTCCTGTGGAAGGGCAAAATCATTCAGTGACAAAGATCAGTACATATTTTACAGCCTCAAGTTGACTGCCCACCCTCAAACCAACCACCGGCTCTTCTAACATGCTTATGTGTGTGTCTTGTTGTGAATAATGAGGCTTAAAGTTTAGTCATCTATTTTCAGATCCACAATAGCAATCAATTAGGGGAAGCAAGGTGGTTAAACTACAGTTTACCACTACACCTCTAAATGTATACAAACATCATCATAGCAAGCCTTAAATCTTATTGCCTAATGAAAAATTCCATGCAAGAGTAATAGCAGGTAAGATTTGTGTATGTAGCCAAATTTATTTGTGAAACAGCCATGAACTGAAATGAAAAATCTTAAAACTATTCTTAGACCATAGAACAGAATGTCAATACCAATTCCTTGTGGACCCTTTAGTTAATAGTTAGGTTTTAGATAACTACCTAAAACTCATTTAAGACACCCACAAGCATTTGGTTTGGTTGATTTTTTTTATGACTGTGTTGAGTGTGAAACAACATCAGAAGTTCCAGTTATCTCCCCTACACCCGATTTTGATAGGATAGAAACATGCCTTTTTATGCACTGAACACATTTAAAACCTGCTCATGTTCATGACATTTTGTGAGACTTATAAGCTGAAGCAGAAGACAGCCTTAATATAGATTGGCCTTTTACATCATTTATACTACTTAAGATACTTCAAGGGTTTTGTAAAGGATCATTTCCATTCAATATCGCTGCACATACTGGGTTTAGTTCAAAAACACTCAATTCACGGTTAGCTGTGTATTCATACAGCCATCAAGGCCTTACCCATCTTCCTGTGTACATTAATACAAATAGCCTGCTGATGCACACCAAGGCTGTCATAGGTTTTCCATACCATGAAAAGGAAGGCTCAAATAATACATTTGCGGGCAACCTTGAGGGCACCACAATACACTGACAGATTACCTGGGTGAAAGAAGATAAGTCTGTGTCTCCCACAAAACATCACCGCAACGTGTGTGTGGGCTGCTGACCTTCATTCACTCGATAGCAGTAAATGCCTTCAGCGAGTGGGAGGTGTGTTGACAAAGAAATTCACATTCCACACACACCCTCACCAACACACACTCCCACTCGGCATCCATGCACTTCAGATTTCCCGAAAAGAGTTTTGGGGACCGGGCAGACTGTGAGGGGAAGTTGAGCGACGAGTGATGGAGTAAAGCATCCGTAGGATTAAAGACGTGTCGGAACCGAAAACGTAACAACACGTCGGGAGGGAAAGGTGATTAGCTGAATTATTGGCTTAATTAGCTCAACACTAATGATCTCCGTGTCCTATCAGCCGTGTCTGATAGCTTTCAAGCCTCAAATCCTACCACTTACTCACTGTCTCATACACAGATATATAATCTCATTTTATGAGTTCACAAAAAAACACACACAGTCTAAACAGTGCTCATTAATCACAGTATCAATGAAGTTACTGTATTTTCTCTACTGGTTCAGTTGACATAATATGTTGCTTTTAATCAAGAACATTAAAAAATACTACATAACTCCGACTTTTTATGCCAAACTGAGGTCAGACATCTACTTCGTCTAATTGAGTCTCCTCTCACAGGTACCTTACAGATGGCGGCCTCCATCTGTATGCGCGGAACGCAGGCCGAGCCTCAGATGTGGCTTCTTCTCGAGAAATATCCCAGAGAGGGAGCAAAGAGGTGCAGGGCGACATAGACAGGTAAGGATGGAGTCTGTCAATCATGCGGTTGCTGCGTGCTTCGCTGATGTGTGATTGATATGGGTGTGGACCCCCCCCCCCAGGTCGACTTGAGATTCCTGAGTTTTGAGATTCATGTAAGCACACACCGGATACATGAAAGCACATTGTTAAATACCCACATTTGCATACAGCATCTACGTTTTACATTCCAGTTTGGAGTTTTTTGGCATTTAGCTGATCCTGTTCCTCTCCAGAGCACCCTGCTGTAAGTTCGACTGTGTAAGCTTCAGTGGCTTTGCTTGTTGCCATTCACTTTCAGCTGAAGCCAGGTGGATGTTTGCAAGGGCAAATCCACCAGACTGTGCTTTGCAGCCGGTGATGCATGTGCGTGAAAAAAGCAGTGTGCTGTGGTAAGGATGGCAGAAAGGTTGCATTGACTTTCCAGCACAAACTGCACACATTTCCTCTTAGAGTGGTTGTAACTGAAAAGCAAAAAATAAAAATCAATTCATTGTGTGACTGCTACCTAGCTAGCATGAAAACAAGCAGAAGTAGCATAATCTATGACGACATGAACTCACTCACACTTTTTTTTTATATTTCTGACTTATAAAACCTTTGCCCCCTACACTTCCCTAGAGGATTTTGTGAATATCTGCTATAATATCTCTGTACAAAGTAGCTTCAGAGCACTGACATTACACAGAACTAATCATGAGGTGAACAGGGGTCAGTACCAGAGTGTCTGATTTTATTCATATGGTGGAGAAGAAACAGTAGATAAGAAAAAATATAGTTGTATTTTCCTTACAAGGGTATAATGCTACATAGACAAGATATGAGAGAGGGGAAATGATTCAGTGCTGAAAAGTTGACATGGGTGAAGAGCTTTAAGCAGAAATTCAGTATCTGCTTAACACCAAACATGTCTAATCTGCTCATATAAAATAATCCCAAAAAGACAAAACATAAAGCCTCAGGTAAAAGGTAGAAAATACGTCCTTCAGAGGTGATTGTCAGAGTAGCCCCACCCTGTTTCACGGACATCCACGACTAAATGAGGTGAAAAGGAGAGGCGTGCTATCGATTTAAAACTGTCAAGCTAAGATTGTAAAGACAGGCCCTCAGAGAGGCTGCTGGGAATCGACTGATGCAGTGACATTTCCTAGCGTCGCAACTTCAAACTTCTGCCAAGACTTTAATGAGTGGCAGTGTTTAGAGGAGTGGGAGGCTTGAAAAGCAATCAGATATGGCTCTCAGGATTTAGCTGGCTTTTGTTATAATGCTTTAGATTAGTAAAGTGTTGTTAAAGACACGCCAAGCCAACCCGACAGCACTCAACTAATTATAGTAACTCTGAAAAGTATACACATAAAGCCGCATTATGTTGTTAGATATTAAGATTATTTTGTGTTGGGACATTAGTTCAAGGAAAAGTACATGTGTTCAGTGTGCATGCTTACATAAGGCAAATTTCAACAGTACGACTAGCAGGCATGATGTTTTGCTTCCGGCCCAGTCTGTGTCTTTGTTTTTGCTGCCCGTCTATATAATCCGATACATTCACAGCCCAGACAATCCTGCTCTGTCTGGGTTACCGTCTCAACAGACAGTCAAGCCAGTCGGCCAGGGGCAAGTCCGATCATATCTGTGATTGACCAAGCGTCAAAACACGCTAGACCTGACCTGAGGTTCAGAATAGGCAATTAACCTGCCCCCTGTCAGTCTCTGCCTGATCTGCCTGTCAGACTTTGACACTCAGGCAAAGGGATGGATAGGATAAGAATAAATATGAACCCTGTGAACTGTCTCTTCCATTTGCCAAGTCTTAGCTTCACCCTGCATGTGTTTTATCTCTGTATTTGAATATTTTGCCCAAAGTGTCTCTCACCTTGCCTAGACATAAATTCCCCCCAAAAATTGCAGCTTTTCTCAGCTAAAGTCTGTGTTAACCCTTTGGGCTTCTGGGACGATGAGGAAATATTGATGCCTGCTTCCTCTTAAGATGCCTGCAGGCAAGACACTCCCAGTTGTATCAGAATCTGAACTCTGGAACCCTGTTTTTCCTTCTTTCCTTCCTCCATTCTCCCTCACAAACCTGTATGAATGTACACACAAAAGTACACACACCTTTAATGCTTCCCCCTGCCTCCCTCAGTCATGTGTGATTGTCAGAAGCTGAGCTGTCACTTCCCACTGACATACGACAAAGCTCAGGGGGGAAATTCATTTCCAAAGCCGATTGCTCACCGGGTCTCACACCTCAGCCTGGCTTTAGCTCCCTCCGTAGGACAGGATCTGCCTCCCATGATTGGTTCTTTCTTTATCCCAAAGTATTCGTCTTCTTTCCGACATAACCCCCTGGCTTTAAGTGAAATGAGTAGCGGATAAGGCCCAAGTTCAAACAATATGTTCGCTGACTTTGAAGAACTTTTCATCTCCTCAAATGCACATGCTGGCATTCTAGGGACGACAAACACCAGCAAAGCATTTATTCACAGACTGTAAGTGAGTCTCCTGCCTTATGTCAAATGTGTCTTTCTTTATGAGCACTGTAAACTAACCAGAATAAGAAGTGAACACTTTCAGCACATTTTTCTACTGCTTCTGTAACTGCCAGGAAGCATCATAGTCATATTTTTTTCTTGAATATCTGCTCAATAACTGCTTTGTTTTTATCTCCTTTATCCAAGAGAAAGTGTTGAAGGAATAGAAGGAACAGTGCAGTAAGTGGTTGATTTTAGGGGTGGAAAGCTGTGGATATGCTGTTATAGTGTATCTTCACTTGGTAAAGTGACTTTATGATAAAAGTGTAGTTAATAATTGTGTGTTTGCTCATTATCAAATGCCTCATTTGAATGTAAACTGGAACGCCGTACCAATCCCAAGAGGGGGAATATGAATTTATTACACTCGGTTGTAGATTTAGAGTCAGACATTTTTAATGGAGGAAAAAAACACTGAAGAGTAGCATCAAATGTCAGAGCTGGGAAGCTGTAGCTGTTTTTTTGTCATTCAGTGCCACCAGTCAACAAGTTTCACTGATTATGCCATGGAAAAATGGCTCTTAGATCCATGTTAGCCTCATGGTAGTTCTGCTAACTTTTTTTGCCCTAGACTAATCTATGAGCAAAATTAAGACTGGCCTACAGACAGTGAAAGCGGCCCATGGTTTGCTGTGGAGAAATAGGTCTTTGCAGTCTTCCATACAAGTGTTTGTCCCTGATTGTTGAACTTCAAAAACATCACAGAAGAATCTCTTCAAAACCAACCAACCACTCTGACTTTATGCATTGATGTGAATTGAAGTGTTTTCTGCAGTCATACCTTTGGAAATATTGATGTGACATAAGGTTATCTCTGTGGATATACAGTAGAAGACAGGGCTTTGTGTTACACATGATTGATTGATATATAGCTGTATATTGAGTTAGACTGTTAGTGTATAGTTTGGGACAAATTATTTGTTTATCTGTAAACTAAAGTATTACTGAACATTAATATAACTCCCTACCTCTTGGATTTTCTCTCAATTATGACCAATATTAGGGACAGTACTCACACATAACCACACACACACTTTTCTATAATGCACCTCCTCAATCAAACATAAACACTCACTTGCAACCCTTCTCCAGTCCTGCCGGCACACTGGCAGTAACAGAGAGAGTTCCTGGAAGGTAGAAAGTGGTAATTTGTCTGTGTACATAAACTGAGCTCCCACGAGGCTCATTATGCTTCATGCTTTTCTCCGTCCATGACGACTCCCCTGGCTCCCGCCCATCGCAGCTTTACCCCAAACCAACACAGCCCCTGAGGAGATTCATCTAAATGACTCATCAGATTGAGACTCACGGCCAGCAGGTGACTGAGACCATCTGGGGCTAGAACAGTGTGGGCTTCTGCTTGCCGCAGTACACTGTACACGAGATATGTGCTTGACGTGACTATAGGTGGTGTTAGATCACGTTGATCTCCATTTCTTGATCAGATCAAGGTGTCCATGTCACTTGGGAAAATACTCAGCTGTATAAGAAGTGATGTGTTATGTTTCTGTAGGTGGTTTGCTTGGAAGGTAGAGGAAAAAAGGTACATTTAAGTGCCTTTATCATCAATATAGAGTCCATTCTTTTTACCACCTGTATTCATGGAACCAAGTGTGACAAATAATTACTTTTGGGGATCTTTTTCATTTGTGCTAAGAACACAGGTATATGGTTTGTTGATCTGAAGTTTGTACATGATACACAGATGGTTCATCACAGATGGTTCATCCATCACCTGCCAAATATTTTTTTAAAGTGCCTACCTTCTTCTAAACTGTTTCCAGTGATAATGTTCCATATGGTTCTGTTTAACAAACCATTGGTGCAGTAAGGTTAAGAATACAGTTGAGTTTCCTGAAACTAACCATCTGCCTCAGAGCAGCTGGACAACAGAAGCTCAGATCCCTCTTCTGATCTGTCCATTTTAAAACAATGGCAAATTCAGCCTTGGCTAAAAGCCCCTCTCTAAAAATACCCTCCTGTCATGCAACATAGATGAGCGCATGCTCGTGGCTTTACTGTCAAGAAAAGATGCCCAAGGAGAGTGTTTTGACACCGACAGGCTTCCTGTTCTCAGCAGAGACATGAATAAGTAACAGGGCCTCGCTTTTAGCATCCTCGTGTCTCCTGTGGATGTGTGTGTGTGGCTCTCTCTCTCTCTCTCTCTCACTTACCCTCTTGTCTGAGGGCCGGACTATGGCAGCTGGCTCTGCGTTTTTTTTTTGTTATTTGAAGCTTTGGGGGATCGGAGACAAGTTTGTGTGTGTGAATGTGTGCTGTGTTGTGGTTGCGTTGTCCATGCTTGACAAAAAGAGATGTTGTTTGTGTGCTTGTCCTGGAATACATTTGAAGTGTGTGTGTGTGTGTGTGTGTGTGTGTGTGCAGATTTCAGCATATGCATGTGTGTGTTGCTGAGCAGCAGGATCCTGGCTGTCACTCCTCAGTGCAGTGACAGTCGTTGTGAGGCTGCGC